AAACTCATTTCCTGTAAAAGCAGATTATGGCTATACTGATTCATGTTTCATCACCACCCTCAGATTGGATCATTATAGTTCATTATACCGGCAAGTAAAGGTGAAGATGACAAACTTCAGGTTCTGTATAATGCAGCAGTCTAGCCAAGGGCTGGAGAAAGTACTAAGAATGTGCAACAGTAGAGCACATTGAACTACTGTGCTTCTCGGAATGAAACAGAAGGGAATGTCCTGGAGATGTCTATATGCATAAGGAGATACTCTAAGCATCAAAAATAGATCATTTTTGTAGTAGATGATCAGTACCCTGATAAGCATAAGCAGCAAACTTAAATATTTGAATACCTGTAATCTGGTATACCAAAGAGAGATTAGAGTGCCAGTGTTCCTATCTGGCTAATCCAGAGTGTTGTCTTGGTTTAAATGCACCAAAAGTATTCTTGCCAAATCTTGGATATTGAGTTATTAACGCCTCATCTATGGAGGATTAACTGAGACACATACATAGTACATGACAGTCACGTTGACCCAACATGGGTTAAAAATATCACAGATCTAACTCAGAGTTTCTGCTATAGTTGTCCCGTTGGTCCTTACTCGGCCCACAGGTGATTCAGAATACCTCTACAGACGTTCTGTTGAAATTTGACTCTACATGCAAGATGTCTTCCTTCCAGTTGTTCTAAGTGATGACTTCAGGGCAGCTCTGCCCTGGTAGCAGTCTGCAAAGGATCTCTGCTAGGCTACTTTGCCCTAACATTTGTAATAGGAACTTCAGGTAGTTGTTGCCAGAATGGAAAGCAAGGGCATCTCCAGATAAGATCTTCAGGGCAATTATTCATGATTATTGTATTAAGGATTTTCGGGCATCTTAAATCCTAAGGAGCACAGTTTGTGCCTGGAAATGGTAAGTAGTGTTCAGGGAAACAGGAGAGTGCTGGGTTGTATCCATTGTAACAGAAAGCCCCGGAAGTGCAGCAACAGTGTGTGTGACTGGATTTTCCAATTTTGTAGAAGAGAGTAAGATATGCAGCTGGTCCTTCAGTCAAGGAACTGCACACACACAAAAAAATCTTCCTTTTGAAGAATGGAAAGTGTTTTACATATACTTTTTAGCCACATAAACTTCTCGTATCCAAGACACTTGTCTCAAAAGAAATTAATTTCATTCAGGTGTGTATCTGTAGGATGCACTTGGGACACATCTATCCCAAGAGAGATTTACCATATGACTTTCAGTTACATTAAGGTAGTTATTTGAGCTGGAGTGTTTTTTGTAAGGATTATTCTGCCCCCCCCCCACCCCCCGCCCCACCCCATTCA